CTGCTTCTTAGTCCTGGCTCGGGGCTTCTGCACAGGCACTCATAACCTCACTTCTCCCTGACTCCTGGTTCCTGCTGCAGTTCGTGATGGGGAGATTGGCTCTTAGGGCTGAGCAGCAGAGCTTTGCCACAGGTCTTTATTGCTCTATTCACTTCATAGCCCCTCTGGTTCCTGCTGTCTGCAGGACAGGGAGGGCAGCCCACCTTACCCTACCCCTTTCTGCCCCTCTTCAGACCCAGGCCCTGCGGGGCTCTCCCCTGGTCTCCAGGCAGGATCATGCTGACTGGTTCTCATCTCTGCTCTACCCACTGAGTCCATCCTGTCCCCATGTGCCGTTTTCCTGTTCCCTTGCTGGGCTCCAGAGCCGGCTCCCAGCTGAGCAGGAGTGAAAGCTGGCATGGCCGGACATGACCTTAACCGGGGCTTTATTTAGCGCCTTGATTTATAGAAGAGTTATTTTAAAAGCATGTTTCTCTTTTGGGAGAGTGGTGAGTGGTGGCAGTGAGCTGGAGTTCATAGGTCCCCCCTGTGCTATTGACAATGAAGCATTTGAGTCCCGAGGCGCCTTCTGCTTGGGGTGATGCTCTCTGGCTTGCTTGGAAAGTGCTCCTGTTATTGTTTGTGCTGAGTGCCTGAGAAGGAACAAGGGTCCAGGACCTCTCCCATAAGGGGGATGTGGCAATTCTGTTGGAGGCAAGAAAGCCTGGAATTTTTAGTCCCTAGAGGAGGGTGCTTTGTTCGAGGAGGGTCCTGTGCTGGGCTCTGTCAGCTCTTGGGAGTCACTGTGGCTGTAAGCGGGAGAATGCCAAGGCAGTTCCCTCTTCTTGGATCCTTTCTGGGTTTAGCTTGTCCTCCTCCTCCTCTCCAGGCACTTGCCTCATCCTGGGTTGCAGAGGTTTTTCCTCATACCTGCTGGGGTTTGCATCACCTGCTTGAAGTAAGGTTTGTAGGTAGGATGGGCTCTAGACTCCAGTTTTATCCGCCTCTGGAATCATAGAATCACAGCCTGGTTTGGGTTGGAAGGGACCTTAAAGCTCACCCAATTCCAACCCCCTGCCATGGGCAGGGATACCTTCCACTAGACCAGGTTGCTCCAAGCCCTGTCCAAGTTGGCCTTTAACACTGCCAGGGATGGGGCAGCCACAGCTTCTCTGGGCAACTTGTGCCAGCGCTTCAGCACCCTCACAGGGAAGAACTTTAAAATCTCATCTCAATCTCCTTCTGTTGGGTTAAAGCCATTCCTCCTTGTCCTGTCCCTACAGGCCCTTGTCCAAAGCCCCTCTCCAAGTTTCTTGTAGCCCCTTTAGGCACTGAAGCTGCTCTAAGAACTCCCAGAACCTTCTCTTCTGCAGGCTGAACAGCCCTGCTCTCTCAGCCTGTCTCCAGAGCAGAGCTGCTCCAGCCCTCACAGTATCTCTGTGGCCTGTGCCGCCTCAAGCTGGTTCATTCGAGTTCCCTGAGCCTCCAAACCACGTGTGCTGTAGGAGGCAATGCATGCAGATGATATATGTGAGGCTCACCATCTGCATTCCAGCATGGAACAGCAGGACCATGGGGCCTCTTGCAGCCCTTGTGGCCCTTTCCTCAGGCCACTCTGCAATCTGAGAAGTTAATTAGTACAAATAAGCAGCCCCCTCCCTGGGACTGTGAGCTGGTTTCATGAGTCCATGGTGGGAGGCAGATCTGCTTCTGCTGCAGGCTCCAAGCTCTGCCATGTTTTACCCTCTGTGCTTCATGGTGGCTTTTGAGGCTCTGCCATGTTTCAGCCTCTGCTGGACAGGACTTAATCTGTCCCTGGGAGACCACCTTGGCTGGATGGGAGAACTCAAAAGTTGTGTTGCCTCCCTGTTCATATGCAGCACACGGAGGCTGTGTCCATCCTTGTTCTATAGCTGCCCAAGAATGCTGGTGCTACAGTCACATGCAGCATGATGGGATGTCGGAATTTGCTCCCTGTTTGGGGCTTTTCATGTGGAATTAGCAGAGAATGGTGAAAAAAAAATCAAAACTCTTTCTACCAAATGGTAGGGTTTGAAACCTTCTCTCTGTCCCATCAAAGCCTGCGCAGCTATCATGGCTTCATGGTATGGTCTCACTAGACAGATAAAGCCTCTGCTGAGGAGTGCACTGTTAGCACTGAACTCTGAAATAGTTGCAGGCTATGGTTATCCTGCATTTTACTAAAGGAAGGACAATCTAGGACTTAGTTTATTTTAACCATATAAAGGCTTTTTGATTCGGTGCCAACATTAATAATTGTCTTGTGAAGGCTTTGCTAAGACAGCATGAATGGTGTGAGAGCCTTTGAGCAATGCACTGACTCGTGCAAATATTTTGACTTTGTTTTATTTGCAGTAACAAACTTAAATTTCACATTTTTTTTTTCTTTGGGTGGGGGTGGAGGGGTATAATATCTGAAAGCATTTTGCTCAAGCAGGGTACAGGGGCAAAGATGGCACAGAACAAACCTGAGCTTGTTTTGATTGATACCTGTGGAATGTAGAGGGCCAGAGGGGGGCTGTTATCAGATGCTACCAGCAGTAATACTGCTGTGGTAGTGCTGGGCTCACTGTGGTGGCTTGTGCTGGGTGGGAGAGCACCTGAGGGAAGGCCAGTTTTGCCTCCAAGGCCACAGGCACTTGCTGGGACAGGTTGGTTCAGGAGAGGTCACTGGAGCTGCGTTTACCTTCAGTTGGCTGTGCAGGGCCTCTGTGTCATTCCACGAGGAACAGTGTGTAATGTTCAGTGCATACTGTCAAGATGTAGCAATATTAGGTGATGTCTAATTGTGCGAGGCTTTGTGTTAGGTTGGGTATCCCTT